ACGATGGGGTGTGGGCCCAGGCCCCCCCCCCCCCCCCAAGCCTCTCCTGTGCTAGATCCCTGGAATTACCAGGCAGAAATCATCTCATTAAAGCTATTTAAACATGGTATGCCTTCTAACTTCTAGTTCTGAACACTGTCATTGCTTTACGCTCCATCTAACAATCTGATTACAGTTCAGTGGTCTTTTTGTGTTTGTTTTTTTTACTCGCCCCTTGAGTGCCAACCATCTGCTTGTAGTCACCAAAACATCACAAGGTCTGTATCAGTAACTTACTACAATATACCTATTTTTACCTTTTCTTTTTTTTTTTTTTTTTTTTTTTTTTACACAAGAATATGATTCCAGCAGTACTGCACACTAAATAGCCTTTTCCAAGGCATCTGGTTCAATCCTATTTTATCATTTATCATTTCATTCATTCTATTCTACTCATCAGAAAAGACATTAGAAGAAACACATAGAACTAGTTGCAGATACACGTAAATAAAAACAAAAAGGCAAAGTTTGCTTAAAAACTTCTTTAGAACACTCCTGCAGGATTCCAAATCATGAGAAACATTTCATGGTGTAATAAAACAATTGGAAATAATGCAGTTCTCTTGTTCATGTTTTGATTTTGTTTGACTGTAGCAAAGACACACCCAAGGAAAGCGTGGCAGGGCAAGGAAAGGGTATAAAATTTGCTACTGGAAAGAGTATTTATTCATTTATTTTAAAACTGTCTTTTTAGCCAGGAGTAGGATTTACTACATTGAGTATTGCTTCTTTCAAAAAAAGCAGACAAGAGAATCAAACATATAAAAACTGCAATAAATAGTGTATCCCAAATAACTTTTAAATGTGCATTGATTTTCTACACATCTAGAGTGCAAGGTCTTAAAATAAATCCAAATCTACTGGAAGTGTTTTCACTACATTTACATCCTTAAGTGTCATATTAATTTTGTAGCCCTCCAATGAGAGAAAATTCAATCTCATGATTGCCTAAGTGTTTGTTTACAATTAAGGTAAGTCCAAAAGGCTTCTCTCTTCTTCTTTTTCTGTGAGCAAATATTTTTTCATAAAATTAGTAACCAGTATAAATTGACATACAATATATCAATATAAAACCAGTTTAATACCAAACTGTAAAGGTTAATAAGCAATCATTTTAGTAGTGCTCACTGGGGATGTTATTTGGTAAATTTCTATATAATCTTTATTTATTTATTTCTAATAATTCTCTCTTCATCATTTAGCATCTCCGATAATAAAAGTAACTTAAGAACTGTAACTGTAGCTGTTTCTTCTATCACCTCCAGCTGGTAAAATATTATTTTAAAAATCCCCATTCTAATGTTGAAAATTATTTTTAAAAGCACATCTGTGCTACCCACAGCCAGAAGAAATCAAGATACAGACACACAAACAAGTCCTTCTGTAATGCCACATGCTCAAGATTACTCCAGGCCCTCGCTCTGCAGCTGAAGACATTACACAAGACAGTTTTTAATTTATTTTTTTTTTCCTTTTTTTTCCTAAGGCCACGCCAGAAGAGCGGCAGGGGCAGCACAGAGGCACAAATCCCTTCAACTGGTGCTCCTGCTGAGAAAATGCTCCATCTTAACAGCACACAGGAGGGCTCGCTACATCCATCTGAACCTACTTGGTGTCCAGCTGCAGGTGCATTATGGCTGTAAGAGCAGGTTGTTAAAAACTTCCCAGCTTGGTAGAGGGAGCTGCCTCTTCAGCTCAGCTCAACATCCCCACAGAGATCCACACCTCTGACTCACGTCTCCCAAGTATTGCTACAACAATCTTAGAAGTTCATTATCAAAAAAATTTGGACCTAATAGGTGCCCTAGTGATTAAGAGGCCTCTGACCGTTGTAACAGACCAGAAATACAGGAGAGAATTTTTTTACTATGTCTTATACATTAGAAAAAGCGTAAAAAATGGAAGTGTGAAACCTAATAAGAAGGACAACTTTTAGATTAAGCTAAGGGGTGAAGACAGCAGAGAAAAGCATCGACCAAATGCTTCCCATGGCCAGGGGTCACAGTTATTTTTCATTTGCTTAAAATGGGGTGCTGGCAGGGAGCCCTGTAATTCTGTCATGAAGATATAAAAACCTTCAGATTTCCCCTTTTGACTTCTGAAATACAGTGCAACTCTTCACCATCTGTTATTTTAAAGTAGAAACAGCAATGAACATATGGGCTTTCTTTCTCAACCAGCTGTAGTGTAGTTAAAGTTATAATAATAGCCTTTCTGTAAGATAAATTTACATTAAAAACCTGGCCAGTAAAGCAATGGTGCCCAGCTCTACATTTTTTCCAAGTGAATTCCAGGAAATCTGAAATTCATCAGTGACGTACTTAGTGACTGCAGAACACTTCCCCACAGAAACTTACTTTCATACATGTGACCGCTCCATCTCAGTTCAAAACAGGAATGTTGGTTTAATGTGAAACTGTTATATAGCTGCTTTTATCTGATTTCCGAACAAGTTTTTTTAACATGTAGAACACTGGCCCCTAGTTCCTAGTTTTAGCTGAAGCAGCATTAGTGGAGAAAACATTAAGGAAAGATGGGTAAAACTGTGGTTCATAAAGCCATAAACTGTGATTCATATCTGAGAGAAGACACACAGAAGCTCAGTTCTATAAATGAACATACATTTGCACTCAGTGTGGTTATTTACACAATCAGTAAACTTGAAGGATCTCATCTGAGCTCTCCCCTTCCAGCGCTGTTTAAGAAAAGCGTTTACCTTTATCAGGATGATTCAAAATCATGATTCTTCTATGGGCTGTCCTGATTTTGGCCCTGCCAGCAGATGGACTGCAAAAATAAATTAAAGTGCTTACAATAAATGCCACTGTACTCAAGCTATAAATTGTTAATACTGGCTTAAAAAATAATTAAAACTTGAGATTTTCACCATCTTGTGGACAAAACATAAAACTGCATCTCTGAGGAAGTAACAATAACAAAGGCATGTAAGATACACTGAGAAGGACATGTTTAAAAAACCCATGTATTTGATGTATATAAATATCTTTCATTTTTAAAAAATACAATACAACCTCTCATTTAAAACAATTTGTGGGAAAAAAACTACAAACAACAAAAAAAAAATCAAACCAGCAGCTCTAGAACTAGAGTATATCTAGCTGATCATTCTTATCATTAAATGCAGAAAATGCTTATTTTTCTTCCTCTTAGAAAGTATTTATATGACTTGTGACAAAACAACCAATATTTAATATTATCACATTCCTGTTCTACTGTAAATATTTTTATTGTTGCTATAAATAATAATTCTCTCTGTTCAGGCCTGAAAAAAACCACCCTGTATTTGTTATTTTTTTTTACAAAGCTGTTCAATGTGTTACATTCAGCGACGTGCTGATTTACAAGTGCTACATAATGATGTTTCCTTCAACGACAGATACATAAAATATGTACTTGGCCTAAATTAAATATGAACCTTACTAGGCAAATAACCACTTATGGATGCAGTATGCCAACACAGTAAGGCTATCGTATGCAAAGGGACAGTTTGAACTGTTTAGTTTTTCATAATTTGTTACCATGCAGAAATGAAGCAGTTTTCCACTTCAGGTGTCTTCTTAATCAGTGACAATTCAATTAATTAATCTTCTTGTAGATACAGTTTGAATGCAAGGTATCAGCCTAACCACATTCCCCAAGGTAAACAACATCTAATCATTATTCTGTCACAGGGAAATCAGGGTGTGTTGTAAAAATAGTTCACAGAACTGAGTAAGAAAGGAATACCTCAACAGAACAGAAAGTAAGCCAGAAAGTATGAATTAAACAGAGAGTGAAAAGCCTTGAACTATATAAATTCAAAAATTAATTTGTTATCAGACAACTAAAATGATCTATATGCTTATTTGTAAAGCTGTTATTTAGTAATGAAAAGGAAAATGGATATATCACATTCAGAAACTCAGACGGCCTAAGCTTAACTGTGGAAATGTAGCAGTTTCCTATTATGGAAAATCCTGCAGCTCTGCTCCAAGAAGCAACTGTGGAAGTGGTGTTTTACTTCAAAATTTCTTCCTATATGAGATGTTGCTTTTACTGGTCTCTAAAGATTCTTAATCGCTATCAGAGAAAACTTCAAAGTCAAAATCGCATTTCTGGTGAACTCGTACAGCCTAACAACCTGAGTCACACCAAAGGCATGGTGTCTTCTACCATCAAAAACTGGCTGAGAAGTCTATCACCTTGGTGGGAACAGTCAACACGCTGGAGGGCAGAGCTGACTTTCAGGAGGACCTGAAGAGACTGCAGGAATGGGGTGACAGGAACCCTTCACAAAATTGAACAAGGACAGAGGCAGAACTCAGCACCTGGGAAGGAAGAGACACCCCTGGCAAGGCTAGGAAATCACTGAATAGAAATCATAGAGCACATTGGGTTGGAAGGGACCTTTAAAGGTCTTCTAGTCCAACCCCCCCTGCAGTGAGTCGGGACATCTTTCACCAGATCAGGTTGCTCAGAGCCCCATCAAGCCTGACCTTGTGTGTCCCCACGGGTAGGGCCTCCCCCACCTCTCTGGGCAACCTGTGCCAGTGTCTCACCACTCTTATCATAAAGAGCTGCTTCGTAATGTCTAATCTAAATCTGTCCTGCTGTAGTTTAAAACCATTGCCCCTCATCCTGTCGCTACGTGCCCTTGTGAACATCCCCCCCATCTTTCCTGCAGATCTCCCTCAAGTACTGGAAGGCAGCTATAAGGTCTCCCAGGAGCCTTCTCTTCTCTATGCTGAACAACCTCAGCTCTCTCAGCCTGTCTTCATAGGAGAGGGGCTCCAACCCTTTGATCATTTTTGTGGCCTCCTCTGGAACCCCTCCAACCCTGCCAGGCTGGGGAGTGGCTCTGCTAAAAGGGACCTGGGGCACAGCAAGAATAAGAGCCAGCAGCGTGCTCTGGCAGAGAAGGACAATGGCCTCCTGGGCTGTATGAACAGGAATGTGGTCACTTGGTCGACCGAAGCAGCTCCTCTCCACTCGGCCAACCACATGTAGCTGCTGCATCCAGAAAATGGCAGAAAATGGGCACAAATTGAAAAGAAAGGTACAGGTTGGTCACACTAGTTTTTCACCCCAAAGACAGCCCAGCAGTGACACAAGATGCCCAGAGAGGATGTGCATTCTCCATCTTTGGGAGTCTTTCAAGACCTCCTGGATAAAGTCCTGAGCAACGTGCTCTGACTCTACTGGTGGCTCTGTTTTGAGCAGCCGGTATGATGAGAGACCTCTTGAGGTCCCTTCCAGCTTGGGGTGTGTTATGATCCTGTGCTTGCCCAGAGAGGTGGTGGAGGCCCTACCCCTGGAGACACTCAAGGCCAGGCTTGACGGGGCTCTGAGCAACCTGATCTAGTTAAAGATGTCCCTGCTCACTGCAGGGGGGTTGGACTAGATGGCCTCTAAAGGTCCCTTCCAATCCAATACATTCTATGATTCTATGATATACCTGTGAAATAAGGTGCATTTAAAAATAAAACCAAATTTGGAAAAAAAGAAACCAAACCAAAAGCCACTATGATTAAACTTTACATACTTGGTAACAGTAACTTGGTACACTTACAAAATGTACTATACAATTTTTAATGTAATAGCCTAATATTCTTAAAACATAAATGACAAAAAATAACATTTTAAGTGTTTTAAATATTTAAACTAATGATATAGATCTCAATTGTTTGTTAATCTACAAAATATATTTCCTATGGAAAGAAAAAGTATTCACTTTGTTTCCTAGAGGAAATAGTTCAATACAGAACATCTTATTAATTTTTATCTAGAATTTAACTTACAATCTTCTGACACATTTTCTAACTTTAGAAGTTAAGCATTAGGGATCTGATAGTTGCAAACCATTACATCTAGGACAGCTATATTTTGCTAGCATTGTCTAGTGTTTGGAAGACACTCCTAATATTTTCACCTCCCACATCATCTCAGACATTCCCTCACCTCTCCTATCAGGAATCCCTTCTACAGAGTACATGGTTGTTAATGTTATTGCTATATTTATACTGAATTTCAGTAATCCACGCTGCTTCGTAAAAGCTAATGCAAGAAGACTAAAACTTAAAGTATGTCTGTATTTCCAAAGATGATTATTAGAGAATAACATTTGGAATATGTAGTGAGTCGATGTATTTGAAATTTACAAGCTACCATTAAATGCTCACCTTTGTCATGGCTTGTATTTATTATTTACACTGCCCGTGCATACTCAGCACTTGATAAGGAAGAAAGTCTTTGCCTCAATACTGAGAATGAGTTGGAATTGATGACACACAGGATAAGTGTTACAATAACATGATCAGGGTCTAGACAGGTCTAGTTTGTGTTTACACTAGCATTTTCCATAATATTTTAAAACTCATCTTTGTTTTTTGATGACATGTATATATATGTATACACACATGCACACACGTACATATATAAAAATATATAAAATTACAGTAGGAAGCGAGTTAAAACTGGTCTAAAAAAGTGTTTAAACAACATGAAAATTTCCTAGAAAGATGTTAGCCGTGCTTCTGCAAAATTAAAGCCTCCATCCTCTAAATATTAAGACCTTTCCTCAAATCTGATTAAGTCTTGATATTTACAAGACTCGGAACAAATATAAGCCATGTCACCGTTCCCACTGTAGACTCAAGCTATTAAAATTAAAAATTAAAGGGGACTGATTTCAGATGCGATGCAACTTCAGACATGTACGTGAGCAGTGTTCAGACCGGGGATTGCCACCGTAAACACACTTTAATGAGCTGCCATGTCACGGGTGAGGTTACTCTGGAATATCACTGAATTTGCCATTATAAAGTGAAAATGTTGATATATTATCTAACTCGCAGACCAAAGGAAACATTTCTGAAGAGCATTCCTACAGATGTCTTTTTCAGTATGGAAGCATGAAATATTACAAACCCATGGTAATGTTTAATTTTAAGATTTCTTAAAATGAAGGCTAAACCTGAATAATTTCCATTATGTTAGAAGCAAACAAACAGCACACAGGATTTTAAGACACAGTTTTCACCATCGGAAATAATTTCTAGTTGAGATAGTTAAAACCATCATCCTTATATATTTGTTTTTAAACCTTAAAACTCAGAACCTATCTAAACCTTGAACAAATAAAAAGAAAAATCTACTCCCTAAGGTCAGATCTGCTCTTCTCATCTGGAAAGCTCTCAAGCTCAACAGAAAACATTGTGATATGTGCTACCATTGGTCATCTAAATGTTTTTGAAATAGTCCTCTGCAAAATCCATTGAATACGCAGCCTGGAAATTATTTCCCATGCCTACTCCAAAGGACAAATCTCTCCAAATATTTTTGTCTGGGATATGCTATGACTTTTTAAATCCCAACAAATGGGAGAGGAGAAATAAAAAAAAATAAAAAATTACTGACTTATTAAAAAAATGAGCAAAATTAATTTGTTTTCCTCATTTATTAATATAATCTACAATACTACTTATCTCAAGGGGGTTTTTGGAGACCAGATCATGTGACTGCACTAATTAGCACAGAATGTGCTATTCTGATTATTTCTAGAGCACCATTTCTCCACTGCAATATGTTACCAAGCCTTCAAGCTAAACATTAGGTTGCATGTTTTCTTAGCATTTTATTGTTTGCTTTTTAGCTTAAGCAGAATATTAGAATGGTTTATAAGCCATTAGAAGTCTTTTAAAAAGAAGTTACAATTTTGGCAAGAGTTCCACATTCTCGTCATTCAATACTTACCAAACAAAAAAAAATATTATTGCAACACACCTACCTTACACCTAAAATAAGACTGGCTTCTCGCCGACTCATTTTCTGTTCAAATCCTCCTTTATAGTATGATGAAAGACTCTAAAAAGAAGAAAGGGAAGACAAGCAATAATTAGCTTTATGTACAAGGTGCCAGACCTAAATTGTATTTATATGACCTCATTCAGAGCATCATATTCATTTGTAATTTCTTTCAAGGGCGGGGAATGACTACAAACCAGATAATATGAAAGGACCTCTCCTGAGTGTTAACATCTACAAAAAACGACTTAAAAGTAACTATCTGTGTTTTTACAATCTTCTACCACTAATAAGAGATATTAATAGCTACAATCATTAAAATCCTGGCTTCAGGCAAAAAGAGTCCAGAATCAAAGTACATACTAGCACACAGAGGAGGTACAGTGTGTGTGTTGGGGAAGGCAAGAGGGGGAGAGGAGGAAAACTTGTTCAGAACAGCTTTAGTACCAGCACAGTAGAAAATGGCAAAAGTCACAATATTTTGACATCCAATGAATTATGAACAATCACTCTAGATGCTTCTACAATGAAAGCAGGTGAAGACAACAATAAAAGGATAAGAATACGTTAATATAACACACTCATGAAAAGTCAACATGCTTTCTTCACATGAGGGAACATTACTTAAAAATAACAATTAAAAAATAAAAGGGTACTTTGAGATGATTCCGAAAAATAAGCAAAAGGAAACAAATAAACAAAAAAAAAGGCCTTGGCATAAAACCACTGCCTCTACTTCACGTGACAGAGCTGGAGAACACTGTGGAAATCCTAACCGACTTAAGCCTTTACATCCTTCCCTAGACATTGATAACAACAATTAGCTACAGGATCTTGGGTTAGTTTTTTCAAAGTCATCGGCATGTAAAAGACTTCAGCCATTTTTTCAAGAAGCAGAGAAAGAACATGAGTGGGATAAGAACATTAAAAGGAGGGTGGAGATGACAGTAAATCATTACAACAATTAATTATCATAAAGAATGGATTAAAAGCATTATTTGTCAATGATAAATATATTTTAAATTAAATATATTTTTAAAATGTTAACTAAGCCACCACTGACAATTAGCAGTGATCTCCTCAATGCAAATGGTTCTCTAAGAAGAATTAGGGACTAGCTCATTGCTACAAAAATCACAGTCGAAGGTGCACAAGTCCCAGAGGCTGCAGATATAGCCTCAAGAGCTGCCTTTGGGAACTGGCACACAGAAATTGCTCAACAAGGCTGAAGATTTTTCCTCAATGCAAAACCTATCAGCTGGGGAAAACCAAGCTTCTTTTGTTGCTATCAAAGGGAAGTCTGGCCTGAGACCATTTTTCAGTGCTACTTGTATGCCCAAGTAAAAATGGGCCCGGCCCATAATAAGGCACTTCTCTCACTAAATGTGTCTATTTGTATTCAGTGGGAATTTTGTCTTATGTTTACACAAACGCTCTCTTATGTAATTTCAAAACCACTAGGGCATTTAAAAGGTTCTGTCTATGATATGCAAGCAAAGCCTTTAATTAAGCTTAGTAGCAACATTCAGAAATACTTCACCTATTGCTACCATGAAGTCACACACAGTCACATAAAAGGTTTTTTTCTGGTGTGCTGCTACGACCTGAAACTAATTTCATCTTTCTTTTTCCCACCTCAAACCCAACATGAAGCAACCACTACTGTAACACTACGGGTATCCAAGCTGAAGTAACTGTGAACATCTCATGCCCACAATACAAAAATCTGTCAAGGAACCGCTGCCACAGCTAAAGGGTAACACAAAACAGGTCTCCAGTAGTGACATTAGAGGTTAGAGTACATGACATTAAGGGAATACATGGGGCTTCTCCAGTCCTCCAACAGGAAATGATGTTAATGATTTAATGGCTACCAGATAACACCCTTGAGGAGGTAGAACTGCACAGACATTTGCAACAATGCTGAACAGCCAGGCGAGAAAAGCACACTTGTATGTCCTCTGAAATATTTTTCAGAACTTCTTCCAAAGCAGCTTAGGTGCAGATGGATTTCCAGAATGGCTAATTTTTCTCTGCCCTACAACTCTGGCACACAGCTCTAATACAAGAAGACACTGATTCGCTATTCATATAGAGAAGAGCAATATTTGAATCATCTCTAACACAGCTTGTCTCTGTTCTTGGTAGATTTAACCTAAAACACTAGTTGAAGTAAGAGAATAGAGAGGGATGGTGACAGGTGTAAATTCAGAAATACAAGCCTACTTCCTTGACATTGCTCTAACCTCAGGAAACCTTGATTCTGTTCACTTCCAAGAGGAATACAGAGGACCACAAGAAGGGGACCAGGGGGTCCCACTGTAAGAGAACACAAGGTTCATGACCACCTGAGGATCCTGAATGTACACAAGACTATGGGACCTGATGAGATGCATCCCAGAGTCCTGAGGGAATTGGCTGATGTAGTTGCCAAGCCACTCTCCGTATTTGAAAAGTCACGGCAGTCAGGTGAGGTCCCCGGTGACTGGAAGAAGGGAAACATTACACCCATTTTAAAAAACAGTGGAAAGGAGGACCCTGAGAACTATCGACCTGTCAGCCTCTCCTCTGTGCCTGGGAAGATCAGGGAAGAGATCCTCCTAGAAGCTCTGCTAAGGCACATGAAGGACAGGGAGGTGATTCAAGACAGCTATCACAGCTCCACCAAGGGCAAGTCCTGCCTGACCAACCTAGTGGTCTTCTGTGATGGAGTGACTACATCTATGGACAAGGGAAGAGCAATGGATGTCATCTATCTGGACTTCCGCAAGGCCTTTGACACAGTCCCCCACAACATCCTTCTCTGTAAACTGGAGACATAGGAATTTGATGGGTGAACTGTCTGATGGATAAGGAATCGGTTGGATGGTCACATCCAGAAGGTAGCGCTCATTGGCTCAATGTCCAAAGAGAGATGGGTGACAAGCGGTGTCTCTCAGGGGTCTATACTGGGACCAGGGCTGTTTAATATCTTCATCAATAACATAGAGGCAGTGGGATCAAGGGCACCCTCAGCAAATTTGAGTGGTGAGGGTCAAAATTGAGCTGAGTGGTGAGGTCAAGATGCCAGAGGGATGCAATGTCCTCCAGAGGGACCTGGACAAGCTGAAGAAGTGGACCCATGTGAACCTCATGAGGTTGAAAAAGGTCAAGTGCAAGGTCCTGCACCTGGGGTGGGGCAATCTGCATTATCAATACAGGCTCAAGGATGAGGTGATAGACAGGTGACAGAGAACAGCCCTGCAGAAAGAGGCTTGGGAGTACTGGTGAATGAAAAGCTGGACACAACAACATAACAACGTGCACTCGCCACCCAGAAGGCCAATTGCATCCTGGGCTGCATCAAAAGAAGGGCAGCCAGCAGATCAAGAGAGGGGATTCTGCCCCTCTGCTCTGCTTTCCTGAGACCTCACTGGCAGCACTGCATCCATCTGCGGAGCCCTCAACGCAAGAAGGATGTAGACCTGTTGGAGGGGGTCCAGAGGAGGGCCACAAAAATAGTTAGAGGGCTGGAGCACCTCTCGTATGAAGACAGGCTGAGAGAGCTGGGGTTGCTCAGCCTGCAGAGGAGAAGGCTTCAGGGAGACCTTACAGCTGCCTTCCAGTACCTGAAGGAGATCTGCAGGAAAGATGGGGGGGATGTTCACAAGGGCATGTAGCGACAGGACAAGGGGTAATGGTTTTAAACTACAGCAGGACAGATTTACATTAGACATTACAAAGCAGCTCTTTATGATAAGAGTGGTGAAACACTGGCACAGGTTGCCCAGAGAGGTGGTGGAGGCCCCATTCCTGGACACATTCAAGGTCAGGCTGGATGGGGCTCTGTGCAATCTGATCTGGTGAAAGATGTCCCTGCTCACTGCAGGGGGGTTGGACTAGAAGACCTCTAAAGGTCCCTTCCAGATCAACAAATTCTATGAAATTCTATTGTCTGTGTCTTTTGTCACACAAACAAAAACAGCTGAATTATTCATACAGAAAAAAGATTTTATTTTCAGAAGTGAAGCACGTGGCAAGAATAACCAATTTTTAAATTAAGGTCTTAATACTAAACACAATTTAAAGCAAGAGGATTTTGCCTAGGATTGCTTTATCTATCTGCAATATCTTCTACCTACCTTTCAACCTTCAATATCATTGATTTGACAGAGAAAGGAAATGAATGCTATTGAAATACCTTCTTTAAAAAAATAATAAAATCCAATTAACAGCACTAAGATCTCTCTGAGGAAGAAAAGCCAAATGAATACTTAGTGGTACTTAGTGCTCCGCACCTTCTACTGGCTACAGACTCTTGTCATTACACACAGAAACAAAACAGTGTCACTAGCATTTGTGACACCATTAACATAACTAGGCTCAAAACTAAAAAAAAAAAATAAATCAAAACCAACCAACCAAAAATAAAAGAGAAGCTTTTTTTTCTGGAAGCAAACATCATGACTTGTCAAAGAGCAGAAGTGACAATGTTTCCTCCTATGCTTTTCTCCACTGAAAATCAAAAAAAGATGGTAGAACATAACTAAATTACAGCAGCCTTTACAATCCATATTTAAGAATATATATTTAACTGTCCTAAGTGAAATGAAAGGTAGAAATTCAGAATAAAAAAACCAAACTTATTGCTGGCCTTTACTTACTATTTTTGACTGAAAGATGAGTGCAGTTTTTGACTGGACATGTTATTTTTAGGTAAGTAAAAAGAAAGCATCAGATTCTCAAGATACAGCAAGCAGACATTATAAGTGATAGTTTCACAATTGCTAAACTTGACCTTCAGCCTCTCTCAAAAAAAAAAGGAGATTATGAGGGACATGGCTTGATTCTAGAAAGCTAGAGTAACCACTGCAAATTATAGTGACCAAGCTAGGCACCTCCAAACACGATAGGAAACCAGCAAAGCCACAATAAGCCTGGACACTAAATGTCACATGAGATGCTCTCCAGTAGGCATAGGCAGAAGTACTAACTGATTAATTTCCTTTGTCAGCATAGTTTAGAGGGCAACACTCTTTAAAGAAACATGATCAAAGTGCTAAACTGAGATTATACTTGGCAGCTTCAAATTTGCCAAACAAAATCATGTAAAGCCACTAAAATAAGAAGCTTGGACAATAAGCACTTACACAGGATCTTCATACCTAATGTTTTCTCCATAGTTTTAAAGAAAAGTTATAAATAGCAATAATTGATTGTTAAGGGGAGAAGAAAAGAAAACTCAAAAAAATACAATCCAAGAAAGTAGCAGCTGCAGAGTAGTAAAGAGCAAATAATCTTAGCTAGGAATTGTGCAGGGGTCCTAAATTTGGACTATGATTGTGGAACAAAAAAAAATCACCACTACCCTCACAAATGTAACACACAATGGCAAACAGGAAGAGTTTTTACTGTATTCAGCAGATCTCATCCTATATGGGGAACTTGCATTTTCAAGTTCAGAAATAGAATAGCAGAAGTGATGCTCTACTGGAAATCAACACACAATTCTGGGCTCTAAGGCAGGATATTAAAGCAGACAGAAGATTCAGTGGCAGGGATGAGGAACACTGAGAATGCGGAACTGCTGTGAGGATAGGCTGAAGGAGCTGGGATTGTTCAGCCTGGAGAAGACTCCAGGGGAACCTTAAAACTGCCTTCTAATACCTGAGGGGAACCTACAGGAAGGCTGGAGAAGGACTTTTTACAGGAGTGTCTGCGACAGGACAAGGTGAAATGGATTTAAATTGAAGGAGAATAGGTTTAGACTGGATCTTAGGAAGAAATTCTTCAGTATGAGGATGCCAAGACTCTGGAATAGATTGCCCAGAGAGACTGTGGATGCCCCCTCCCTGGAGACGTTCAAGGCCAGGTTGGACGGAGCCTTGAGTAACCTGGTCTAGTCAAGAGGCGTCCCTGCCCATGGCAGGGAGGTTGGATGAGATGATCTCTAAGTTCCCTTCCAACCTAGGCTGTTCTATAGTTCTATGACTCTATGATTCTATGACAAGGAGGAGGTAGGGGAAAGAGAAGAAGGAACATCAGAAAAAACTTTTCCCCTGTGAGGGTGACAGAGCACTGGCACAGGCTGCCCAGAGAGGTTGTGGAGTCTCCTTCTCTGGAGACATTCAAAACGCGCCTGGATGAGTTCCTGTGTGGCTGCCCTACGGGATCCTGCTCTGGCAGAGGGGCTGGACTAGACGACCTCTAGAGGTTCCTTCCAACCCCTGACACTCTGTGATTCTGTGATCTCTAAGGTCTCTTCCAGCCTAGGCCATTCTATGATTCTGTGATTCCTGGGTTGCTCGTTATGGTTGTTCATGAATTCTGCAGGACTCAGAAAGTCACTGTGGTGAAAATGAGGGAGGCCTGTGATGAGCTTGGCTCAGCCAGTATACCAGTACTGAACAGTACAGTTTCCTAGGAGCAGACACCTCTCTATGCAGTAGCATGTCATATTTCAATGTGTTAAAAAGCGTCACTGCCTGCTTTCTTATGGGAACATGTCTGAATTTAGATTCTCTGGCCTATATCTACAAATGGGTACAAGAAGAAATGCTGGAGTAAAACTGCTGGGAGGGAGGGTGAAGATGGAAGCATTCCCTACTCTGAAGCCACACGTCCTTATTGCTAGCAAGCTTGCAAGTCAGAGTGTATCCATATATTGTGAAAGCAATTTAATTCACAGTACCTAAAGTTCCCTCTGCTGTTTTGGCAGGAGACTTGGGAATCTCACCAAAAAGTACTTTGAAAAGTATAAAAAAAACCACCAAAAAAACCAAACCCCCCAAAAAACCCAAAACAGTGCTGGTTTCACGACAGCAACGCAACAGAGGGAAAG